CCAAAATTGCGCAGCAATTGCATATAGCGACCTCTATTGATGTTTGTCCAGCCATTAGCACCATCTGTTGGACAAGCAAGCGCTGCTGCGAGCGTTCAGGCGTCAACTGTTGAGTTTGTCGCAAAATAACGAAATGAACCAATCCGGGTTTTCCAATACTTGAACCCTTTTCGTGGGGAATGTTTAGAAAAAAGTATTTTTGGAAATTAGGTACCCGTTGAAATAATTTCCTTTTTAGGTACACACTCTGGTTTCCTCGCAAGCCTATAAAGTAATTTGTAACATATAAATAAAAGACACCCTTGCTTACCGAGTAAATTATTCGCTCAACATATTTAAATGCACAGTCTGTGTATCAGGGGAAGTACAAATACAACTGTACAAGTACAACAGCTAACACTTTCATATAAAAATAAAAGAAATAAGCAACGCGAGAGTGCCTGACTATGAAATACCCTCTGTTCAGATTTGTCACCACATCAACTAATAAATATCGTTTTCAGGGTACAAATAGTATATGAAAGTAAATAAAGTAGGTATATAAATAATAATTTGTTTTCATACTAGAGCCTATAATTTTCTCAATTTTGATTAGAAATAGAGGCATATTTTGTTTGCAGGGCGCTTAACGAATATCCTTATTAATCATTTAATGGCTACAGGGTATAATAAGTGGTTTTTTTAAAACAAACATTTCGTGCATTTAAACGAATTAAATGTAAACACTTGGCGTGGCATCTTCACATTCCCAGGACATTAGTGGCCACTTACACACACACACACACACACACATATGTATGTATGCGTGAGTGTGTCTGCTGGCAATTTGAGTTAGGCACAAATATGCCCGACTAATCGCAACAAAATCCATCTTCTCTGTGGCCTTGTCATAACTAACATGAGGATAACAGAGAGGCGTGTCTTTTAACCTTAAGTTGTACTTTGGAAATTGTGTGGGTGTTTTTTTTTAAACTGAAACAAAGTTTTCTATGTGCAAAACATTTTCCATTTAAATGCAAAGGCAAACCGACTTTTAATATTTCTTCAAACTTTTTTACATTTTAGTAAGTTTTCTTGTTTTGTAGCAGGAGATGTGTAAGTACATAAATTTACATGCGAAATATATGGCAAACATTTAAAGCTGTCTTTTCGGATTTAGCTGTAGCTGATCTAAGAAGTTAAGCTTGAAAATCATTTACAAATCATGTGCTTTTACGCTTGTACCCATTGATATTGGCTAAAAAGGGGTATACTGGTTTCGTGCAAGTGTGTGTAACAGGTCAATGGGCCGAACGTTAGCTTCTGTAATGATGGCTCAATAGCACGGCTCCTATTATAGGATACCACTTAAGAAACACGACTGTTAAGGTTGCGTCTTCCATCTTGGTATGGCGGGAGTCCTATCTGAGACCTCTTCTGATCTATGGATCACGGCACACCGATTGTATAACGCAGCTCCACGTCGAGCATTTGCTCTACCCGTATTCCGGTTTAAACCACAATCACCACGAAACTCCTCCAAGGGCCACAACCAAAAGTCGGGATGAAACAAGTTCCGTGCGTTCCTGATGTGTGTAACAGGCAGAAGGAGGGTAAATATATTCTTGATTTTGACATCTCGATCCATCTCCGTGTGCCCGCCTTTATGAACCCGTCGATCACAGAATCTAAAAGACCTGGAGTCTTGAAGCTTAAAACATATATTCTCCTATACGCAAAACTAGTTTTTCATTTTTAGATGATAACTTGTCCCATTTTCCAATCTTGATTTTTTAAGCATAAATTGAATAAAACTTATTTTTAAAGCAAGAGCCTTGTGATTTGGTATAAACACAACTTAAATGCCGCACTTATTCGCTTAAAATTTCAAGAAAATCAGAGAGCAGATATAGTACTTCTAATAGTGCGGCGCACGCGGAAGAATCAGGCTATAAGTACCTGGCCAGGCATTCTGGAGTTCATATTGAGCTATATGTAATGACTTGAAGAATCAAAAACAAAATAATATATGGACTGAGGAGTACAGGGCATTTTGTAGTCGAGCACACTCTACTACAGCGCTCTTGCTTAGCTATTATTTTGAATATTTTGAATAATTGGTGCATAGCTACATTCTTCGAGTCTATGTTCAACTATTATTGCAATAGATAGATAGTTGCCAGTCTAATACAATTAATTCGGAATTAATGTGCTGCATTCCTTAAGACAAACGAACCTGATTGTATTGTCAGGCATTCAGCTACAGCTGGGTATCTCAGACTGCACAAAGTCCTCGAAGAAAGTCCTGTATTGTTGCTGCTTTGTGAGATGCAACTTTTCGGGAGTTATCTGCTAATTGCACAAGGATGCGAGGAGGCGTAAAGGATTGGGTAAAGGACGTGCCAGCAACTGGATGGCTGTCTGTCTGTCTGTCTGTCTGTCTGGCTGACTGCGCTGCACTCATTGGCGGCGTTAATTAAAATCGTCTCAAGCAAGTCCGAGAAACTAATAACAGCCAAACAATTTTTGAATCAAGCCTTTCAGCTATGTTCCGGCGTTTTCCTTTTGCCATTCCATATGGCGCAGCCACTGTCAATTTTTCCGCTCAAAGCATAAAAAAAAAAACACAAAATTGAGGACTGCGGTCGCGGTTTCGGGCCAGAGGCGACTTTGTTTTAGTTGGCTGTTGTTCTTCCGCCAGCCTGAAGTGGTTGCGAACTAGTGAGAAGTGGCCGTCGCGTCGTCTATGTTTGCCTGTTAGTAGAGCTTTTGTTTTAGTTTTACAGCTGAACTGTTAAGGCTGCAAGCGCAGCTGCAAGCGGATCCATTGTTTTTGCCTTCACTGTTGCTGTTGTTGCTGCTGCTGCTGCTATCCCTCCCTTGCCATTCGCTCCATCGTGTTTGTTTTCCATTACAACATGTTGTTGCTGGCGTGCACTTACATTGGCCCGCTGTGGTGCAACAGCCGGCGCCAAAATATTGACACTGCCGAATTGTTTTTGGTTTCTCGCGCGTAAAACCAAATTAATGAAACTTAAAATTGACAACAAGCACAGCAAGTGGCCAACACAAACAACAAACAACAAACAACAAACGACATGCAACAACTGACAACTGGCAAATGGCATCTGTGTAATTGTTGTTGTTGTTGTCAGTCACTAAATAAATTCCATGGTTCATCTTCTGTAACACTCTTAAGCGGCTTATGACCAGGCCAATCGGCGTATCAGCCCGGCAATAACTCATTTGCGGCAGCAAATGAAAAGCGATTAATACTGGACATCAAATACAACATTCACTTTGTGACCAACTCGCATATATTTTATTGCATAGGTTTTCATTTTTTGCCATAAATATGAAATATATTGTACAAATATTGATTTCAGACTTTTGGATATTGATGTGCATGTATTTTTTAGTGTCCCTTGGGTATTCAAATTATGTCACGAATGGGTCTTATCATTTATCATAATGCCACCCAAAAAAGGATAGGTTGAATATGTCATTGCTAAATAAACACTTGTTTTGCTTTAAATTATATCTATAAGAGAATAAAATAGAACGCACGAAATATTGTCGAAGATTTGCTGAAAAATATTGAAAGAAGTGCTGAGCCGCAAAGTGTTATCCAGCGTTTTGCTCAGATGTTTCGGAATCTTGCCACTAGGAATTAATTAATGATTTAAGCCGGGGTTGTAGAGCTCAGTTTACCCTGCTATACTTACAAGAAATTTGTAAAATGGTAAGACGCGGTGCTAGAAGAGGGGTCAGTGTTAAGGAAGGTGGGCACCGCAGGGATTGCTTCGCCGCAGTACAAGTTAAGCTTAGTAGAGGATGGATGTAGGTGGGATTGCTCCGCCGCTACCTGAGTTAAGATTAGTTGGGGAGCGTGTCACTGGGATTGCTCCGCCGCTATTAGAACTAGGATAAGTGGAGGAGAGTGTCAGGGTTAATAGAGAAAGGTGTCGGTGGGACTAGCTCCGCCTGTGACTAGATACTAAGAAGGGTAAGTCCTACCAGGTCTCGCTTGCTGAACTATAAAAAAAGGGAGCCCCAAATTGTTTAATTATGTTCAATTTACGTTTTCTTTATTGCTCTTAAGTTTCTGATAACGCTGCTGCATCGTTGTTCTTCAATAGATCTACCTAATCTGAATCACGACCACGCCTCTGTGCTCCTTATTCCTATTATGCCTCTGACATGTCCTCTACTTGCGCTTGTCGGATCCAGGATGATGACTTTTTCTATGCGAATACCTTTTATATTCCCTTATACATCTGAGATACTTCACAATAGATTTCTCAATAAAATGCCAAATACATTAAATTAATTTCCGGTGAGGCATTAGCTGTCAGCCTGCGGTTTTCCATTTAAGAAATTCCCATTTTCAAAAAGTGTCTCCAACTGTAACAGCAATGCAATAAAGTAACCACTGCATGTACTCAATGAAAAATTACAATAAATAATGTTTTAAATGAATTATTCACAGACTTCAGCTCTTCCGGTCGAAAGTGCCACATGCCGTGGCATTCATGGGCTCCTCCTCAGGCTGGGTCGCAGCCCGAGCGGCTCCTTGGTGAAATAAGTTATTCAAATTTTTTGGTTATATTGTAAATTTGGCATTTCCGAATGCAATGGCGGCGCAGGATAACACATTTGCCATCAGTTCGTTTGGGTAAGTGTGCGTGTGTGCGTGTGTATTTGTGTGTGGCCTCGCACATTTGCATGCAGAATTTAAATTATATTGTCCGTTTCATGCTCTGACACTTATGAGACAAAATGAAATAAAAGATGACTCCAGCGACAACAAAAGGACTGAAATAACAGAAAGGTAGCAAGGCAAGGATGTGCCACACGCGCCCACAAGTGCGCAGCCAGGACGACAAACAAACAAATAAACATCGCCTCGCCTCCAACTTACGTGCGCCCCAACATGCTGAGGTTGGGTAAGCGACAGTAGTGCTTCGAGCTACAACATATGCCCATATTCCGCCCACTCAGGCACACACACACAAACACACACACACACACACAGGCACGCACACTCATTGAATGTGCTTTAATATTTCAAAAGCTTTAATGAAATCGCTTTGCTTTGCTCAACTGTCGTTTGCCTTTTCAAATTGCTGCTCGAGATGCGGCGGCTTTTGAGGGCTTGTGTCTTTATGTACATATAGTACATGCATATATCCAATATGTATACCTAAGGGGACTTACCTGTGTGCACATATACATGTGCCTCGCTGCTGGCGTTTCGGGTAAACTTTATGAAATGAATAAAAATTCGTCGCATTCTGTAAACTGTCAAATTGAGTGCATTTTGTGTGCCACGCCCAACTAAAAATTAGTTTCAAGGGGCCAATGGAACGTTTGGCATTGCCCCAGCATAAAAATGTAAAACTTAAGCACACTCACCCGCCGCGGAGCTCTTTCAATAGCATCTGGGGAAATTTCCGAAAATATTATACAAATCTGTAATTGCAAAAAAAAAGCGAAGTAAAAATAAAATGTCTGCATAAGTGTTGCCACCTGAAATTACACCTGATACAAGTTCAAAGTTAAGTTCATGTTTGTTCGGCAGCCAAGCGACCGAAACAAGTTTAAAGCATTTTTTTTACGCTCGAATGCATTTGAAACCCCAAAGACCAAAAATAAATATGATTACCGCAACGGAACCACCGCAACCACCAGCATCAGCAAACACACACAATACACACACACACAACACACACACACAAAACACACACATCAAGCTTCTTTTAGAGCCTGTTTGTCAATCTATTTGGGCCATTGTTGCGTTGACATGCCGTAGGCTTTTGGTCATTTTGTCCTCGATTTACGTTTTCAAAAACAATTTTCTGTTATAATGTTAAGACGGTCGCTTCCGATTCGCTTACCCGCTCGTTTTTGCCGGATTTTCGCATTTCTTATGCCACTTTAATACTAGTGATAGTACCAAAGGCAATTCCATCCTTAGCCGAGCTTGTTCTTAGTTTTTGTATGCCCTTTAAAGGACAGAAAAGAGTATGATAAAAGTGGATACCAGCTTGTAATAGATAAAAGATGGCAACTCAAAGCCCATCACATATTCTTTATCAGAATTTTGATTAACAATGTTTCTTTGGCTTATTTATGATCTACAGGGTATCCTCTAGTCTTGCCTAGTTTGGTCTTCTAGTTTGTTTCCCATAATTTCGCATTTTCTTTTAGTTGTCTGGGCATTTTGTTGTCTTACGAATTACTATATTGTCTAAGGCCATGTGTGGCCCGGCCCCATTCCCTTCCAAAAAAAAACAGGCCATTATTGTTCAGCCAAACATAACTGATTTAATATTGGATATGACAGCGGAATGGCCCAGGCAAATGGCAACTTGATTTCTATAACAAATTAGTTCATTTCGTTACTGCGCCAAGACGCAACATTATTTCGGTGCTCAATCTGCCAAATTTATGCGGCATGCGTCCCATTTGCCCGGCTCCACTTGGGGGTGCAGCTCTCAAAATGAGCTCGCCGGGCATCGACATCAAAGTCTATTAATTTTGTGGTGGCGCCAGACAATCTCACTCTGCCTGGCAACAAAGCGGTTGCCAGGCACAGTCCGAGTTCTAGTCCCTGCCTTGTCCCCATTGACGCATGAAACTATTCATTCTAGTCGAAGTGTGAATATATTGTGTATCCATATTGTCTACTATGAATATGTTTGCATACGCACACTGAGAAAAAAGTCTCGGGACTAATAATTTGAAAGCAAATAAATAAATTCCTTAACCAAATACTATTTCGCTTTAACTAACTAACTTTTCTTTAAATAATGTTCGTTTAGGCTAAGAAGGAAAAAAATGCATAATAAAGGTACATGAATATATTTGAGTGCAGTTAAAAGTTGATGAATGTTTAGTTAAACATAATAAAATATAAATATATTTTAAAGAAATACTTGTTTGGATTCCTAACACAATTTTACTTGCAATTTAAATAAGCTCGTGGTGTCTTAAAGTTTTTAAATTCAGGTTTAGAGACTGTCGATCCGCATATTCTTCTAATTACATGACATCCTAGTTTCTAAATATGCTAAGATTTATTGCGCATGATCTTAGACTTTTCGTATTTAAGCAAGTTTTTCTGATGTAAAGATCCAATTACTTTCGCTCAGTGTATGTGCATGCAGTTCAAACTAAGTATTATAAGCTGAAGAGCAGCTGTAAGCATGAAGCTCATTATGCGTAATATGCAAATGAATATGTTGTGACTGATTAATTAGAGCACGTGAAAACATATTGCCAATTGGTAATTGGGGATGGCCCAATACTAATTCCAATCATTTCAAAGCAATGCTTTAAAGGTATTCATTGGCTCAATGTTGATTTGATTAGTTGAAGGACCAAATGCCTGCAGTTGTTTCTCCAACTGACGGTGACGTTCAATTTGCGTTTGAAAAAATCTGATATCTTCAAATATTTGCTAAATCAACGAGCAATTGTATGGGAAATTACAAACCGTCAATTAGCATGTCTACCGGTGGGCATTGGAGCTTGGTGCATCAACTTTGCATTCCATGTTTTCAGGGTTTCATCTGCAGCTCGGGTCGATTGGGCTGTCATTGTGGCTGTGGCACGCACAAAATCCGTAGGTCCTGCTCATCATTGGCTGCCGTTGCAGCTTCTGCATACCAAAGGCAGAAGGGAAACCAAGACCGATGTCTATTTGCATATGACACAAACAGGTTGCAAAGCGCAACCGACTTCAATTGCATTTACTCGGGTGCATTCTAGTGCCGTAGCCGTAGCCGTTGCCGTGGCCTTAGACGGAGGCAGACGGAGTGTGTATCCTAAGCGACTTTGTGTCATTAAAATGATGCGAGCGTCCTTGCTACTCAAAGAACTGTAATTAAAATTCAGACCGCAACGACAATGGCAGCGGTTGTGGTTATCAAACAGCGCTAAATAAAGATGCACCCTGGGCAGACGCACCTAGTCAAAGCGCTCAAAAGGACCCAGCCAGCCCTGCCTCGAGACCCTAATGGCATACTGAAAGTACTGTAAACAATAATTTATTCAATATATGCATATAGTACCTCCAGTACACTATAAGCATGAATAAAGCTTTATGGAAATATAGGCGACATATTTTTAAATTCCCTCCACAATGGAGATTCTGTAGAAAAATAAATATTATGTCAGCCTAGGCAAAGGACATGCTGGTTGCATTGAAGGTTGCAAATACGAGGTTGCATGCAACTGCTATGCATTTTCAATCGTGTTATATACCTAGTAACTGTTAACGAGAATGCGAAGAATGAACAATTGTACTCAAATATATATATATTCGATTCCAATTAGTTGACCCAGGGTGTCCTCTTTATTGATCCCCATTATCTAGAAGGGTTGGAGACTAGTTAATTCATGTGCATCTTGAGTTTTTCAATCTTTTGCAAAACATTAAATGGTAAATACTTAAGCGTTATAAAGAACACCGTTCGTTTATCTGGGCTTACCTTTGCATTATCTTAACTGTGATTTTACATTCGAATTCCATTAAATAGTCGCACATTCGCACATTTTCCAGCACTATCGCCCATATGCTGTCACGCTTTAAAGACATTTTCGCACATTTTCACGTGACTCTGAAAACCGAAAATCTACTATTACCTGAATACCAGTAAAAAGTCTACACGCACACACGCACACACGCAATATTTTTGTTTTGTATTCCAGTCACGTACGATGACAGCTAAAATTTAATTTTCTGTTTATATGTATTTTTCAATATACCCCAATGAAATGCAAAACTCTCTGATCTCCTAGCCAATTGTCGACCCTTACGGCAGAGCAGCAAACACACACTACACCTCCGCCCTCTGCACTCTGTACATCCTGCACACCCCGCATGCTGGGGTGTGCCAGCCTCTACACGCATCGAAAATGCATTTGGAATTTATAACAATTACTATTTCCATACTCAGGTAAAGGCATAAATAAATGCATTGAATGCATTCATTTGTTTTTGTTCTTTGCTTTTTGCCAGCGTTGTGATGGCAGGCTCCGATTTACGTTTATCTCGAAACAACACGCAAAGAATCGTTGCCTGCACACCCTTGCCCCCACTTCCTAGAATACCCCGCCTGCAATTTCTGTGTCATTTTGTTGTGTTTGCGTTTGCTGAAGCGTTTGGGCTGGTTCCGTGTCCACAATCAGGTTTCAATTGCAGCCTCAAGCTAGGTAGCTGGAACGCCCTAAACGATAATCGAAAATCGATTGTCCTTATATGTTAAAATGCCGGAGCTTTTTGCCACCTGTGCCGTTGTCTGTACGCTCAATTTAGATGCAAACATACTTTGCATACATGTCCGGTACACCCGGTGCAAGTTTCCGCACTTTGGGGCCGCAAAGTTCTGAACTTTGATTTGCATTCATGCAATGCCTTGGCCGAAGAGAGTTGAGTTTTTTCCGGCGAGGTCCAGCGAGGGACAGCGTTTATTCTCTATTTGTAAATTTGTAATAGAATTTTTTTGGTCTACCAAATGTGCATATTTTGCCGAGCATTTGCAACAGTTTCCAACAAAAGTTATTGATTAATCTGTCAGATTCGGATCCAGAACAAGTTTAACAAATTGAAATGTAATTTTCCAGAGCTCTGTTGCAATTACGAATCTGTGTAATTCGCGCAGTCAGTTTCAACTCTTAATTATCCGAGTCCAATTACGCAATAAACAATAATATTATGCGAATTGTTTTATTTTCATAATGATGCAATGAGCTATGCCACTTCGGAACTGAACGAGAATGTGTAATTATAAAAGAGAGAAGCGCAGAGAGAGGGAGAGATAGAGGGGAATTAATTTGACAAGGAGATTCATTTGCATTTAATAATTTACTTATTTTCAGTTTTTGTGGAATAGGCAAGGGCCGTCGCCACAGTAATTGCCACGGCCTGGCACGCAGACGGGAGCTGGGGGCTGGGAGCAGGATACGGAAAATGCAAGACTTTGCTAACTCTTAGACCCAGCGTCACGCAGACAATTAAGTTCTCGCAAATATGTAAATGTGCATTTAAATGTGGGTACGAGTGTGTGCAGATCCTTAAATGTATGCTCGGTTTTACCTTTTATGTGAAAAGTTTGTCATTTTATGAAAACTTCACTTAAAAAGTTCAACCGGATAAGGGGGAAAATTAACATTGAGATTTTTATACAGTAAAGATTCCCGAATACACTCAGAGATATGTATTCCTGCAATTTGATTATATTGTGACTATTTCGTAAAATTTCTTATTCAATTTACCTTTATAGGCATTGTAGAATTGCTTAACAATTCTATAGCTAATATATCTTCTTGCAGTCACAATCCCAAATTGATCTAATGCGTCGATTTGGTACCCATTATAGAATGTCTTCGAGGTCTAGAGTGTACAGTCCATAGACGAGAAAACGTGCGTAGATTTTTCATCCCAAATCCAATAAATGTATAATTCTTTAAATTCTTTTGTATTCTCAGTGGGGTTAATTGGCAGGTTGGCTTTCGGGGCATTGGAATTCCAAGGCCCAATTGGAGCAATGGAATTTGGAGCACCTCACCAATTTACCATATACCGCCAGATCCTTAATCGCCTCACTCAACCATAAACACTTTAACCCACTTTGAATGCCTGTGTGTGGTTTTATAATGTCTCTGTGTATGTGTGCGTATGTGCAAATTCATATGCTCGTGCGTGTGTGTATGTGTGTGTGTGCGTTTGTATGTGTTTTGGTTAATTAAAAATGTGCTGCGCATTAACATAATTGCCTTGGGAATACAATTGAATGATTAATAATAGCGCAGTGATTAAACGAAAAGGCTCGGGTATATAAAGGACCTTCGTCATTGTGTTTGTCGTAGGCCAAAGCGGGGGCGGATCCCGCTCTCTGTGGGCATACTTTAGAGGGGTGCTCATAAAAGGTGGCAAAATTCCCACAAAAACATATCTTTAAATTATGCTGCCCATCTAAGCTATAAAAGAATAAAGATAAGCCCTGAATTGTGGTGTTGATACGTGCAAAGGGAAGTCTTAGCTGAAGTCCAGATTAGCCTGGGCTAAAAAGAAGTCAATTAGTCGAGGTATGCACAGAAGAATCCTTAAATATACTAAACGGACAACAAGATATTCAGACTCGAACTTCTTTAAAATAACTTCTGTATATGCAACAAAAACAATTTAAAGCCCCATTAAGCCCTGCTTATGGCTACTTGATGTAAATATAATAATTATCATTAAGTTGGCTCATATATGCAATTACATTCGAGTATATTAACTATCCGTAATTTGATCCGAAACCTTGCCACTTTGTTAAATAGAGAAATTGGTCTGATATCGGGAATTAATGTGTGTGTATATGAAAAGCCTCTGGCATATGACCGCTCAGTGGTTTCTGACATCGATTTTCGGCTACGTAGTAGCAAAGGATTAAATTGTCACGTATCAAAAGTAATTAAGTGTTGCTGGAACTGTGGCCGAAAATCCCAATGCCTGGCGGATGGTGTTAAGTGGGCGGCGTGTAACCCAATTCGGTTGGGTTGGCAACTCGCTGCGGTGTGGCTTTGGCTTAATTTAATTACGCCGCACTCTACCGCAACGTGAAATGTATATGAGCATGGCGAGAACTTTGATTGCAGCAGCTTCCGAGCATCATCCTTCAGCCCGGAAGTCATAATGGCCGCGTGCATTTTTTTTCTTTAGTGCTGTAATTGTGCGCTTTGAGCCTGAAATCCCGACACTCGCATTTCAGCTCTTAGATCTGCGTTAGATTGAGATTGGCTTAAATTTTGGGCTTCACACAGGGTCAGCTGGGTCTGCCACTCGAGTTTTTTTTTTACTTTCTGGCTTTCGCTTTCAATTGCTAAACGACACTTTTGTTTCGATTTATGGTGCCGTAAAAGCCAAAAGTGGCGCAGTTGTAATTTTACGGCCTTGCGCAATACTGTGCTGGCATTGGGCCTAGGGATAGAGATGGGGATGGGGATGGGGCATAGGCATACGCAGGCAAAGTGAGCACCAGTTGAAAACGAATGCGCAAGTGAGCAGCCCATTTCGATTTTATTTTAACCTCTTCAAGCCGCTTAAGCTTTTTATCCCTGTGCCATTATAACAGATTTATATGCGACTAGTTAATGCACATGCAATATTGTCGGTTTAATTTGTTCGTTTTCAAAAAAACACACGACCACGCCCACCCAATTGTCATGTCTTTGCCGCGGCGACTGCGATAAAGTTGTTTAAACCATTTTTACAGCGTTTTAGCTCAATGATTTTCCACATGACTGAGCAGCCCGTTCGCAAAAGTTATTGGATCGTTTTGATTTATTGTGCATGCAAATGTTTGCTGTCTGCTCCAACCAGCATCCTTAATCCTGTTGCGCTCCCACCGAATTTCAATGAGGCCATCATTACCGAATTGCCAATCACTTCTGTATTGTCTGTCGGGACACACGGCCAACAGTAAGCAAACATACATTGTATATTGTGTCTGCCCGGGGTTATGCGCATATATGTTTTATGGCTATATTGTATAAGCGAAAGTGAAATCAAAATTTAACTCGATTTTAAAATGGGTCCTGTGGGCATAAATGTGCTCAGTACTTCTGGCCTTAAATATATTTAATTGGTGCATGTTTAAGTTTTACAGCGTTCAAATATCTTAACTCGCAAAAAATAGGTCACAAAAATGCAGCTGAGTAGGTCTCGTTGTAAATTTATTTTATTTGTTTAAAAATAAACAAATGGGATTAACAGGAGATTATTTAAGGCTCAAGTTTTAATCTTGTGTACTTCAAGCTGACGTAAATCGTTTTTAATATGTTTTCAATTTAAATATTTTGATTTTTAAACAAATGTGTGTTTTAATTGCTATAAATGCTCTTAATTTGAGATTAATATGTAATCCATTTGCAGTTAATCAATTGTCAAGTGCAAAGCGTGTTTAAATCAATTAGCTCTACAAAGACCTTGTATCAACATGATTAGAAATAATGTCAGAGCCTGAGTGACAGTCGAATTAGCCAGAAATGAATTCCACGAAATGTGCACATCAGCTGCGAGTAAATTGATTTGCCAATTGTTTTCTCGTATTTCGTGAGAGAACACAAAAACCCACTCGGTTGAGAAAATAAGCCCTAACGAATAGCCCCAGCTACATGCCCAATATGGATTTATTGTGTTGTGAACTGCTGAGTTTTAAAAGAAATTTCCTTTTATATAATATTGTTGGGGGGGTAGCAAACACACATTTCCGGCGGATGTCTGTTAAAAATATGCGAGCTTTAAACCCTTTTGCAATGCGCCCTTAGCCAGTTACAGGCAGTTACAGCCAGCTGAACAGCAACAACAACACGGCGGACGAGTCGAAGTTAATCGGATTCGGGACATTGTGAATGCTGTGAACAATGCCAAGTAAGAAGCAGCGAGCCAGCAACCAATTCAATTGTGAATATTGAATTTCGTTCAATTAATCATCCATACGAAAAATGATGATGACGTTGATCAAAAAACCACAAACGAATCGAAACGCGGCCCACACGACAAGTCAAATGGAAAGCGGTCGCTGGGATACGATGTTGGACCAGAACCTGGGTCTAGGCACTGTGCTGGAATGCCTTCCTGGTTGTCTGTTTCGCATGTTTTTTTTTTGCTTTTATTTAGCTTTTGGCTGAAAACTCATGGGTGCATTTACGTTATTAATGAATAAGGAATTTATGCCAGTGCCTTTTCTTTGATTTACGAAATTACGTCAAAACCGCCTTTGGTACCAACGACCGGAACACTTGTTCCGAATATGTGAAAGACATCATGAAATATGAGCAGCCATTGGAGC